CGAGATTCAGTATGTCTGTCAAAGCTCAAAATTTTGCGAGCTAGATAGGATTAGTGCGGAAATTTTGAAGCGCCCAGGCGAAACTCTGCTGAACTAGATCCATCTAGTTTTTAGCAGCATCCGGCGGAAGTCGAATATGATTCACATATTCAGGCGTAGGAATCGTTCTTACTGTGCCATTTAACGCAGGATCATGCTTCTGCCTGTGCTGGACTTTCACGTATGGATAACGTCGGCGTACTAAAGAAGAAAATGGAACAGGAAAGAAACTTGTAACTACCCCGGTTTGGCATGTAGCATTCTTTGACTTCTGAGCAGTTTTCCACTCGGTACACGATCAGTCACTGTGGAGCGTACTGCGACACCGTGGAGTACCGCAGAAGATTATCGATCTGCTGAAAGGATTGTACAAGGGTACTGAAGACGCCATCAAAGAAAATAATCGTTGTCAGACTGGTTTAACATCAACAGTGGAATGCGCCAAAGAGAAGTGCTTTCACTTCTGTTATTCAGCATGGTAGTGGATTGTGATGCGGAGGAGCGTCGTCCCCAACAGTAGCAAGAGATTTACTCTCAGACAACGACTCAGCCGAAGGTACCCAGCACTACTCAGCTGATGACATTGTACTGCTGAGCGAACCCGGTAATGGTTTACTGGCACTAAGTTGAGAAGTGTGCATAGTGGCCTCGACGATCGGCCTGGAAATTAACCTCACCAAAACAAAGATCTAGCGAGCACCCGACTCCAATAATGACCCAATGATTCAATGGAATGGAACGGCCATTGAGGAAGTCGGAAACTTCAAGTACCTCGGCTCTGTACTGGCAAGAGATGGATGCTGCGATATGGAAGTAGAGCCGCGCTTTGTTCTTGCATCCGAACTTTGATCGACTTTCTAAAGTGTCTAAATGTGGCAAGACAGATCTATTCGGACCGCGGCAAATATCAGCATATTGAAAGTCGCTCTACTCATCCCTGATGTAGATCCTTGAAACTTGTCAATCCTTTTAAAGCGCCATGAAAAGATGTGGGACAGTCTTCAGCATAGCTGCCTGCGGAACATTCATAGTGCTATGGTTCCATTGAATCAAGAATGAAAATACCTTAGAGATGGTCTGCCTGAGAATTCTGTCTTAA